TTGGGGCATTTACATATATATTAAAAATCAAATAGAAAAGCACAAAGTTCATTTTGCGCCAGACATTGGAGATCTGATTTTTACATCCACTTTTTAAGTTTCAGATTTCATCAGCCACTTTTTAAAAGTTGTACCACTACATCATATATTTCCATATACTTAATCCACCGGTGGTCCTTTTGAGTGCCGGTGGCGAAACTACTATAATAAAATTACATCTGTCGAATGAAGAACAGTGCGGGCTACTATGCGAAGGCAATTATCAAATTTTATGAAAAATCCTTTTATTCGGAGACCGTGAATGGTACACGATGTCGATCAGCCTCAACCGCTTTTGGCATGTTTCGTCGTGGATGCTGAACCTGATGTCGTGTTGAGCGCAGCGCTCTTCCCCACACTACAGGCGTTCATATGAGACTACCTTGGCCGCAATGTATTTCTCTTACGTCGGTGCGTGGGTTCAAATCAGCGATTTGTTAAAACATTTCGCTTTTATGTGGACTGTTGCGAGACGTCCATCTATCGAAGTGAAGTTCAGCACCTCCCACCATAAATCCAACACCAAAATTTGCGCTCTTTCATTTAACCGCCGTAGTAAATGTCAAAGGGAACTACTCGTCTCCGTTCCTGTGGCGTTCATCGCACTTCTTGAACAGAGGTGGTATCAGCCTTTAGTATTACGAGGTCATTAACCAGGTGGACAAAGGCACCTTCCCAGTTAAGTGAACGGGCAGGGCGTTCCAGGCTCTTAAGAGTGCTTAAGACCGACTTTACAGTGATCGTCATATAAATTAGAGTCTCTCAACCGTGATATTGTACAACTTTACATTGCAGCTCGAGTAGATTCCAATTTAGATTAATTTTTTATTTATACACAAATATTATTGCAATGACATTTAATATATCGCAATGAATCGCTTTATTTGTTTTGTAAACAAACTAAGATTGGGAACTTTCATTTACATACTTTTCTAGTTGCTCTAAGTAATAATAATTCATTATCGTGTTGAAAAGTTCGCAAAGTTCGCAAAGTTCGCAAAGTTTACTACCAAAGTTACCGCAAAGCCAAGAAGCTTTTATTTACACTTACATTTATATACATATGTATGTATATAAGTTAAGCAACACATATACACACATGAACATGGAAACACTCGCAATAATAATTTGCAGAAACTTTTTGGCAATTAGTTAGGTTATGTACTTTGCCGTTTGACAAGTTGGTAATGGCAACTGTCATTTTGGCTCTGTTGACATTTCTGTCATTGTCGCTGTCGAGACAATGTAGTCGAAAGAGAACTTACATATTTTTTTAAAAGAAGTCGAGAATATTTTTTATAGACTTTCAATCGTCGGTGTGCCGACCCCTGGTTGGTCAGGACAGTTTAGTCGGTAGAGAAAAAGCCATTGTCGTATTCAGCGTGAGAAGTTGCAAGTGTCATCCTCTATAAGTTTGTTGTTCGTGGTTTCGCTCTGTTCACGGCTATCCACTAGAGTGAGAAACGTAATGGGACGCAAAGGTAGAGATGAGATCTTAAGGCAATGTCTCGGCAAAACATATGTGTGTGGGAAAAATACTTTTGCTCGTCTTTCATAAAAGTCTTATGGGCCAAAGGTGAAGGCAGACATTGCAAAATTTCTGTCATTGTCGCTGACGAGACAATGTAGTCGAAAGAGAACTTACGTATTTTTTTAAAAGAAGTCGAGAATATTTTTTATAGACTTTCAATCGTCGGTGTGCCGATCCCTGATTGGCCAGGACAGTTTAGTCGGTAGAGAAAAAGCCATTGTCGTATCCAGCGTGGGGAGTTGCAAGTGTCAACCTCTATAAGTTTTTTGTTCGTAGTTTCCCTCTGTTCCCTCTCCCGTGAGAAACGTAATGGCACCCAAAGGTAGAGATGAGATCTTAAAGCCATGTCTCGGCAAAACATATGTGTGTGGGAAAAATACTTTTGCTCGCATTTCACAAAAGTCTTATGGGCCAAAGGTGAAGGCAGACATTGCAAAATATGTTAGAGCGTGTGAGGCTTGCCAGCAGGTAAAGCATGAAAAGCCAGCTGGGAGTACGAATGAGAGGACCGAAGCGCTCAAGTCTTGGGGAATGATTTGTATGGAACTGCTAAGACCCTTAATGAAGTCGCCCCAAGGCTACTACCAATACATTTAAATTATTTTTCCAAATTCCCATCCATTGTATGTAAACAGAGACAGAGGAAAGCATTTCTTTTGTCTCATTTTGAGTTCATCTGTATCGCTCGCGTGTGACAGTGGATCCAAATTTAGAAATAGTGAGTATCGGCACCTCTGCGCAACTGCAAAATATCACCCACAGGCTAATTGGCCAGCCGAGAGGATAATCCAAATTATCAAAACTACCCTGAAGGCTTCTGAGTCAGCAAAAAAAGACATGGCAACAACAGTTAGCGAAGGTAGCATGCGCAATACGAAGGGTGGGGAGCTACGCCATATTTTTTGAATTTAGGTAGGAACGAGGCGCTAGAAGGTAGAAGGTAGTAAGGATTTCAAAAACAGTTTAGGGGTTCAAGATAGAGGAACGAGCAGAGGCTTGAAGAGATTAGGTTAAATATGAGGACTAAGTTAGAGTATGCGAGCAAAAAGCTTGCAAAGCAGCACAATCTCCATCGCAGGGATGCACAATACATAGTTGGAGAGTTCGAGAGTGCCAGCGTATACATACACACCGCCAGATTACTTAAATGGAGACAAAGGGTCTTGGAACCTTAATAAATTGTGGTCTTATAAAGACAATAGGATGATTAATGTGATTTTGGGTTTCTTGACCAAAAGAATGGTTCACTTCGGTGTATGCGTACCTAGTGTTGGTGGAAATTCCAAAAAGAGGTGCTCTCGTCAGAACGGTTCTCCAATTAATAAACGTGAGAGTAACTCGATATATTGTACGGAAAAATGAGGTGTCGCTCTTCAGCCTAATGCGGCGAGGGGAAAATATAACCAGTGTGCTCGGCGTGCCATGGTGGCGTACGCTGTACAGCCTGCTTCTTTTGGGTAATGGAAGCGGACCCAAATGATTGGGTTCCAAGCACGCACTCACCAGAGAAATCTGAAGGCCGATGCAAAGCTTGCAGGCTGTCGTAATAGATACTTACGATCTTATATTATTTACGATCGTGCGTAGTTTTAGTTCCATATTCCTGAATATATAAAATCCACCGGTTGTTGGCCACAGTTGCCGCGAGGTTAGCAGAGCGTACTGCCATTCTGAAGTCTCTAATGTAAGCACTGGTCCGACCAACATTCAAAATTATAGCAAATCAATTTTACTGATTGCGGTCGTCCCTCGGCGGGAAATGTCAACCCCGCTGAATGAATTTCAGATATGAAAAAATTATCCTAATGAAATTCCATACGCCGTTTAAAGCAAATTTTAGGCTCTTCCATTAATTGGAAAAGCATCAAGGTTTATACTATGAATTGGAGGAGGTTCAAGACACTCTATCCGATCCAGGGTTCGTAATCAATCGTTCATTCATTAGACCGACCGACAGTAATTCCGACTTAATACCAAACTTCCGATCTATTTATGTATTACTTGAAGTGGACGTCATGCGACTTTATCCTCTTTCAGTCTTTCTCACCCTCGCTACATCTCTTGAATGATGACAACTATTCATTAGTTCTCCTGTGGGACCACCACTGTGATACTTTTTAAAATATTTGCCCAAGTAAGACCGTAATCTAGACACCCGGCGTTGTGTGCGGATAGAGTTATATGCGTTGGGACCGTTTTCTAATTTCTTAAGTGAATGCTAGTTGTATCCAATCTACTACGTGGAGTTCTGTTTTCGGCCCTGCCTTTATTTACGTATTTCGACTTCGATTTTTCATCAAAATAGTTTTACCGTCATTTAAGAATTCAAGCTCATTTCGCTGAGTGACTTTGCTGAGTGCTCGGGAAATTTCGGAAATATTTGATCCGGCGCTATCGCTGATTATTGTTAAAATACTCGGTTTCCTTATCACTGAGTTCTAAATTCACGTTAAAGCAGTTCGTTTTTTTTTTTTAATTTTAAAATTCTCTATTTCACTTCTGCAGTTTCCACTAAGAGCTGCCCCCACAAGGAGTTTGACACGTTTCAGAGCTCAATTTGCCTCTGATTTGCCGGTTTCTGTACGAAGAGCTGACAAATGATAAATGCCACGGCTTTTAGCCACAATCTAATGAGTACATACCAACAAACAAACAAACTAACGGACACTAGAGAAAAGTGAATTGGCGCTTATGTTTTTGTTTCGGTTGTTCGAAAACTTTGTTGTATGTTGGAGCCAACCACACTGGCAGCTGTGGTTTGTTGCTTTGCATTTTCCACCTGGCGTGTGGTTGTTTGGTTGGTATGTTGCAAAACTCTTCACTCAACTACTACATACAAAACAACAATAGCAACAATAAAAAAATAATTACCAAGCAATCAAAACAACTCGAGCTTGGAGGTCTAAGAGGCAGCGGACGTTGCGCTCGACAAACATCACAAGTGCAATGAGCTCAAAATTTATGCAAATTAACCGAAACGACGTCACAGTTCACTTAAACCTGCTGTCACAGCCCCAAAGCAGCCCCTCAGCCAGCATTCAGCAATCACCAGTCACCTTGTTGATGTTTGATAACGCGCTGCAGAGCACAACGAATCGTTTTCATTAAACTTTCTTCTCGCTTTCAGTTTTGTTTTTAAACTTCACTTCTATGCTCTTACGCCGCTGCTTCATTTCGCAACGCTCCAGTTTGTGGCAGTTGTGTGACACAGCGAGCCAGTTTGTGGCACTACGTAACCCACAGCGACGACACCAATTCAGTCGTCACGTTGCCACACAATTGCCATTTCACGTACCGGCACACACAGCCGTATACATACTATCCACTTCCACATCTATGGATATCGGTATGTGCTACCTACCATATTTGCCGGCATTTGCCGCACATGATCACGGCTGCGACGAGGTGTGTTGATGTTTGTTCCACTTACCGTTTATAATTCTGGTCAGCTTATTGCGGCGTGTTGACGATGGACTTAAGAGACTTTCGCGTCGGCTGTTGCCCGCACTGCTGCCACTGCTGCAGAGATCGCCACCGGCGCCGTAATTGATATTCAATTGGGTTGTTTGCGATGTGGTGCTGCAGTTCGAGAACAGGCTGCTGGCCGATGGACGTTTGCTGAACGGCACCACGGAGGGGCGCGGTATGTCGAGAGAGGGTCGCGGCGTGTCGCTAAACACAATCTCGGCGAAGGAATCAATGCTCGCGGAACGTTGAAGTGCGCTGCTGTCCTTTCGCCTGCAAAGAAAAGTAGAAAATTTCAGAAAAACAATAAAAACAAGTGTCGAAGAAAAGTGCTTGGCAGTATGGAGGAAATCAAATATGTATGCACATATATACATACACATATACATTCTTCACTCTGAGCAGAGCAGAAATGTGAAACACATGGCAGAGCTCTGGATTATTGAAAAAATAGACGAAGAAAGTGCTAAGTAATGCGGAATTGGTTTAGAGAGCGAGCGAATAATACGTGAATTGATTTTTAAGTGAAAATATGCAATCAACTACACGAATACATGTCTACATATATGTATATGTACATCTATCGTCTTGAAGTGGAACTGAATTAAGCTGCCCTCTGTCATAGCTTTAAGCTGTGAAAAAAGATTATGAGGACTCGACGAGGCTCTTTCGTTTACTTGTTTTGTCTAGAAGAACTTTGGGTCCACCTGCAAATGAGCATTCATCTGACCTCATTTTTGCCTTTTATTATAACATTTTATTAGTTCTTTAGCAGTATATCTGATGATTCATGATGTGGATTCCCTTGGGCTGCTGTGCAACTCCGATATGCGCTCCACCTACAGTATTCTCTGAATGTTAGTCACTAGATCGCCTCTCTGGATCTCCCATAAATAAGTCTCAAAACTTGCCATAAATTGTTGGTTAGTCGTGAAGTTTTCCTTGGTAAAGTCAGAACGATAGAACTAAGTTGACGTTAGAAGCTTCTCTTTTAATCTGACAGCCTTAAATAGTGGAGCGCACAAACCAAATATCAAATCAGCAACCTTCTGAGTACGAATTAAGAAACTCATCGTACAGAATTTTGCTTGATTTCGCATTTGTGCAGGACTTAAACTTATCACTGATAAAAAGATGTGGTCCTACTCACAAGGAAATACAAAATTTCAGCTTGAATCAAACCAAAAATGGGAGAGGCCACTTGGAGCTGAAACCTAGTATTAACTACTTGGAGATTCTGTTGGATGGCAAGTTGTAGCGGAGGCTCACTGTCGAGCAGCGAGTGAAGTGAAATTCAGCGGTCCCCTGTATACATGTAAAATGATGTTTGGTTGCACTTGGACCGCATACCCACTATACCTCACTGGATGTTCGTTGCGATTGTTAAGACAATACTTTTCTGACTTCCAATGATCAGCATCACCGGGGCACTCAAAATAATACCATTTGCCGCCCGATATTGTGCATTTCATATGCCTAGTCGCTTCTAGTCGCTGCGAGACTATGTGCTTCCAGGCGGCTAGAGTTCGAATAGACTCGATAATCTCGCGCCTGCCTTTCGGGAGGCTGTTATCAAACACAATTTGGGTGAATGTCTGTAGTCAAGGTCTGAAATATGAAGACAAAGCTCTTCATACTTTTACAGGTGGTTCTAAAACGAACGAAGGAGTGGGGCTCCTGTTTATTGTGTCCAACTAGAGATAAGAAAGTCATTGAAGCTGCCAAGCCAATGCATTCCAAACTCCAAGTCGAAGTACTACAGGGTGCAGGATTTCAAAGGAAGAGTACACACAATTATGCGGCCATAAAATCCATACAGCACCAAGAGTTTACATTTATTCGGTGCGACATTGATGGCAATGAGATGGCAGACGAATTGGCTAAAGATGGTATTCTTTTAGGAGAGGAAGTAATAAGGAAGCTACTAGTTAGTTTCAGAGAAGTGTAGAGAGTAGACGTCTTTTAAAGGAATACCGAAGAAATAAGCTCCACTCTAAGACCCTTTAGAAGGTGGACTTAGAAACCTACAAGTCTGAGATTTGGAAAACGAGGAACCCTCCTTCGAAGGGTGACTCTTCCCTATTAAGATGATTTTTTAGTCGAAACTCTATTCCTTAGAGACGAAGCGGAAAACTGAACTATGAGCAGAGGGAAGTGCTAATCTTCTGCAGAAGCTCTTCAAGTCTCCGTTGTAAAATAATGCCCTAGAAGAGCATATGCAAAGTGTTGGGGGATACCAGGCTGCTTGCTCCAATTAGGATATTCTTAATAGCGCTGGATTGAAGTCTTCTGAGGCGTGCTTAAATCATTTCATTGCTTTTCCGGGATTGGTTGTTTGCTATCGAAGAAACAATAAAATCACTGTTAAACATTGTGGTGTCTGGCAGAGAAAGAAGGTAATCCAGCTAAAAACCATAGCATGAAAACCGAGTCGAAGCGGAACCGCTGAAATGTTTGTGATTTTGTCGAACAAGGAGATGGAATCGGAACTCATCCGCGTTTGCAGGATTGAAAATTCTTAAATCTCATATATGTACCAGCTCAGTAGATAAAGGAAGATATACTCGTCCTGCATACTGAAAGTAGGCTCATTTGCAGTTTTATGGAATCCACTAAATCTCAAAATAACCCATCCAACTTGGATGTAAATGTTTATAAATAGCTTAATTATTCACAACGGTGCCATCGCATCAAAAAATGACACTATTTCCATGAGTCCGTATGTTTGTATATTTCTCGGCAAATACTCGCTGAATGAAGAAGTTAATGGCATTATTAATACAATTACTTTTTATTATTATTACTCACGGCTGTGCTGTGCAGTGCTTAAAAAATGCCACACAAGGCACGCCCGCCATTCGAGCTTCTGTGTTTTAGTACGTGAACGCTGCTCTACATGTGACAGTTTGTCCCAGCAGCGAAAAGCTCAAGTATTATTTAAAAGATCAAGATCGGGACTAGAGAATAACAGGGTCGCTGTTTAGTGCCGAGTGAAATCAGTTCGCTCTCCACGTGATCCTTACTCTGCTTCCACCAGCGAATACTGCTCCAAATTCTTTTAAAACTGGAGTGCTTTTATTCAGGCTTTCATGACATGCCCTAACCAACTTAGCCGCTGTCTCTTCATTTACTGAATTATATCAATGCCTCCGCATAATTCTTACAGCCCATGGTTCCGTCGTTTGCGAAATTCGTCATTGCCAAACTTTTAACTTGAAGATTCCCAAGGCCTACACATCACATTTTGACAGCGTCTGCCCAAATTTTGCAAAGCAGCACAGGGTATAATTTTCGAATCTATTCCATCCATACTGCAAGTATGCTCCACCATGCTTTTTACATGAGCATCTTCTGGTCTTAAAACCTTATTTAAGTCGCCGCGTCTTTTCACAGAACTTTCGGGTATAACCCTTGTTGGCCTTTTTCCAAAGCTCTTAATACTCTTTTTTTCTTGGCTTCGTCTGTCCATTTCCACTACAATTCGGAGTTCTTCGTCGTACCAGTTTTTTCTCTGGTACTGCCATAAACCAATTGCTTCTGCGTGGTGGTACGTGGGCAGTTTGAGATGACACAGCAGGTGTGCTAGTCGAATTGAAAACCGTTCGGCTGTCTATTGTCTGTGAGTGCGCATCCTCCCTGTCACATCCGAGTCGTTCTCAAGACCTCAAATCTACGCACAACACTAAAGAAATATTTTCCGTCAATTACAACATGTTCGATCTGGTTATGGGATTTTTGATTTGATGCCACCAGGTAGCTTCATGGATTTTCTTTTGCTGGAGTCAAACACTACAGAAAGTCCGACGAAGTTGCTTAACCCAGATGGGGATGCTTCTTTTTATATGCTGACTATTCCCACAGTTGTGCCCAAAATGCTCTCTTTACCCACTCTGGCGTTAAAGTCGCCAAGCGAATTTTCGTTTTGCTGTGGTTTGTAGCAAGACGTTCATCAACCGTAGCGAATGCCGAGATTCCGCGACGGAGTCTCTCCCCAGCACAAATCCAACACCATGACCGTCTATGAATGGGCCAACCAGTATTTATATAAGGCTCATACCATTATAAACGGCTGAAGTCAGGAATTATTCTTATGAGGACATCAACCAGCTGGGCAGCGGCACATTTCCCCTTAAGGTACTAGACATTCCAGTTGCATGTCCTCAAATCATGATCTTTGAAATGTTTGTGGTGCTCGTCATCAAAAAGGGTATCTCTCATTCGAGGTTTCATTCGAGCAAAGTAGTTGGTGTTGCGTACTAACATGTGGAGGGTTAGAGCTTCAGTCCTCAACACTACGCGCAACTGCAGAGGGATAAGCCTTCTTACTTTAACCAGAGGATACTTTACCTAAGACTGGAAGACATAAGCCGCTTGTACCATTTGTGAAGGAATCGTTTCTGGTCACTCACAGGTGAATGAGAGCCAGAGACTTTCCTCACTGGCTTGAACTTCTGCACACAGCCAATCCCCATTCAAAACGTCGTTATGTATATATCCGTATTTCATGCCTTGATCCTCTCTAGTTCGTAAAAGGTTATGAAATATTTGTTAGTTTTTCACAGAGGAAAATGATAAAAGTTGGAGTGGTTGCTATGAAAGTGCAACTAGGAACATTTTAGTACGCAATCGTTGGTTTTATCTGCAGTCATGGGTTGGGATTGCCTGTGTGCGCGCGCGTGTGTGTGTGTGTGTGTGTGTGTGTGTGACTGAGTTAAAGTGCTGGCGACAACATCATTAACGGCAATCACCAACACGGCCGCAACGGCCGGAAGCAATGATGGCAATGATGAGAGAAGGATGAGCGAAGACAGGAGGAAAACAACAACAACCACAACAACAGCAACAAAAACAAAACATATAAATACAATTACACTTTACAATGACAGCCAGAGCCGTAGGAACAACAATAACAATACAAAAATGTTGAAACGTTACTTCCTTGTTGTTGCTTGTTGTTTAAGAGACACTTGCTGTTGTTGCTATTATGCGTAAAACCATGCGGCAACGGCTGTTGCTACTTCATCACCGCATTTGCAACAGATGCCACAATGACTCCGTGACACTTTACTACACACATACATACATATGTACGATATTAAGGACTCGATGATTGCCAACAATAAACGTTCAAAGATCAAAGACTCTGCATGTGCTGAAACCAGTGATGGGTATAGACTGTATGTATGTATGTATGTATGTATGTATGTATATTTGCGGAATTTTTTTTGTGTTTGTGTATCTGTGCTCTGTAACACCAGCAGTCGTTGGAAATT